GTTTGTGATATTTTGTGAGTGATATAGATGTAAGAGTAAAATTTAAATTTTAGATATGTTGATGCATAAGAAATGGGCGGCATGCATGCAAATGCGTTAATATTTTAGTATTGTTTGGATATTTTGTTTTTATGTCAATATTATCTATATGCTTCATATCACATAAAAAATATCATAATTTTAATCTTTAAAATGTAAAATAGATCTTCCCATGCAGATATAAAGTTGTATGTATGTAAATTTTAAAGCTTCGAGTATTCGATATGTAAATTAGTAGGAAATGAGTGGTTTGCGTGCGAATCTATAAAAAAAATATTATACGGAGAGTTTTGCACATAATTATTTTCTTGGGGTCTTTCCTTAGTCCTCAGTTGAATTCGAATTTCATTACCCATGCTCTGTTTAGGATAGTTGTAGCTGTGTGAAAAAAAATTATGCAACAACTATGCAAGATATCTGTTGCGGGAAAACTTTATTTGTTTGTATTATGCAGTGATGCAACACCTGTGCTGTAACTGTTTATAAAAAAGATAAATTGGTTGCCCTTGAATTGAAGTGGTGTTTATAAGATAATAGTTCAATGCTTAATGACATACATGAAAATGTAAATTACATTTAGAATCTTAAAAAACTTATAAGCTCAAATATTACATCTGATAGTGATATCTCACTTAACAATGAGCATCACAATAATCAAAATAAAAAACAAAAATATTAAAATAGCAATTGATATTATCAAGATACTAATTTTGAAATGCAAACATTCAATCCCACGGGTTAACTTATTTTCCAAATATATTCTCTGCATTTGAAACTCTGTCTGAGGTTGAATCATCAAACTAAGTGCCCACTTAAAGAAATTCACTGTCATTTACTGACTCATTCCTTTGACACTTGTAAATTTTTATCTTATGATTGTTTTCTCTTCGTGATGTAAATAGAAAACACTGCAATCAACAATTGCATTTCAAAACTCTAAAAGCACCAAAAGTCATTGTGCTCATATTTTCTCAGAGTTGAAAATCACAAGCATAAAATTAGCTTGCCTTAATAGTACAATGATACATTTATATGAAAAATTAAATAATAATAATAGTAATATCAATATATAAAGATTTAGAAAACTACGAGGTTTTAAACAAATTCGTCATTACAAAAAGATTAAGACTTTAAAGAAATGAGATATTGGTTATCTTTAAACAATGTAATATCAAGCTTCCCATAACGAGCTCAACTCGTTAATGATGAAAGTGTTGTTCTGTATGACTTTTTTTAAAGTCAGCGTAACCTGAAACACATTATACTGCAATGGCTTAGAAAGACACTCTCATAAACAAGATAAAAATATAAGACTAAAATTTAAGGAGATTGATCTATTGTCACCTAAATAATTAGAAGTTCAATATTTCCTTTATAAAAGTTCAAATGTCATCACATTGAAAATAAAAGAATATTTACATAACACATAATTTGTATGTATTTATGAGTCTAATATTTAAAGTTTAAAATTTACATTTATATCAAATTGGCCACATAAATTTACCAATAAAAATGTATATTTAATTTTTCAAAAATAGTTATAATGATATTTTTGAGGTAAAAGTAAGGATTAAAATATGGCGGATTCTAATTATTTGGCCAAAAATAAAATCCGCCATTTTACAGAATCTTTCCAAAGAATCCTCAAATTTACGAATACATACACGACCGGCGATAAATAGGTTTTACTCGATTCCGCTGCGACGGAGGCTGAGGGGGGCGCCGTGCTCCGGCGCTGATTCGGTAGGTTGGCAGATTACTCCGGCAAGGATGAGAATGACCTGACGATTCTAATTGGTACGTGGAACCCTATCCACCAGCCTTCTTTAATCCATATTTCCCATTTGTTTCTGGATTATCCTTGTTGATCTTCACATGTCTAGGGTTTCTTCTTGAACGCTAACTCGATGACTATTTGAAAGGAAAATGGGTGAATTTGTGATACTTGCCTCTAACATATCTATATCTGTCTCGGGACTTCATTAGTAAACCTAATGGGTGGAATCCGCCATATTTTAATCCTTACTTTGTTGACCACCCAGTTATTTCAATTCCATAACTTGTATATTGGATTGTACTTTAAGAAGGCTTACAGAGGGACTGCATGGACCATGAGAAGGATGCTCCGGTTTCATCATCATCATTACTTGCCTTACGCTAACTATTTGAGGTGGGGTTTAATAATCCTCATTGTTTCAAACTCATAGACATAGGTCTAACATACTTAGGCTTGTAAGGGGAAGATGAGCGGAGAATTAGACATTTTGTTAGAACTATTTAGGATATAAACAGGCTTAAGATATCTTGTAATGGAGCTAGGATGATTGGTAAAATTTGGTTTCACTTGGATGTCCAAGAGTACGAGTTTGAACAAACATAGAGGAATTCCTTTGGGAGGTTTTAGAAGGAGAGAGATGAGAAATATAGGGGCCGCATTGCCTTCTTTTGATCTGGATCTTTCTGACCTTAATCTACTTTGCATTTGTAATCCTCTCGGAGAAGAATTTTATGATTTAATGAAATTGAGTTTTTTATGATAAAGCTTGCATGAGACTCTCTTTATAGTATCGTGATAGATTATTGAAAACTGCTTGTCAGCATCTAATGTTTAACATCCCTTGTTGACCACCACCAGTTCATGTCATTGCCATCGTCAATAACCCTTATACTGGATGCCATTAACAAGACCGATGTTAGTCATCGACCCCAGCGCTAGAGCCCATCATCTCCTCCAAGGAAGATGCTCGTTGTTATGCTATTATCAACAACTTAATGTATGCTTTTGCCAATAAGGTTGATTTCTATTATCGCCACCAGCAGCAAGAACCTTGGCGCTAGTTTTTTACACCAACGATGTCATTCGCTGTCTCAGCCAAAGTTGTGCTTTTGATCACAAATACTGTCGATGTTCGCTATTGTTAAATCAAAAAAAGGGATTTGCTAAATCTAAAAATAGAAGGTATTGCTAAATCTAAAAAAAAAGGTATTTGCTAAATCTTGAGAATGATTAACAAATTCATATACTAACATATGCTAAGTCTGGCTATCAAAAAATTTAATGGATTTTTATGAAAAAATACCTTTGATGTCCTTATCATGTCTTCTCCTTTTTCGCTTCTATTTCTTCTAGGTTGCAAGCATAGCTGATTTGCACCGGTAGATGTAGCCACTCTGCACTAACAACATTAGCATCTTGATTTTTGTTATTTTGGTTCTCTTACGACGTTCTTATTATTGTGGTTTTGTTTTCTTCCCCGCAACAATCAAGGGCATACTAAGCTTTAATTTTTTTCTTGACAAATCCCTCATCGACAACTCCGTCGCTATCACCATCTTTTTAAATCTTCCAACTTATTTTTGAAATATTTTCATTGTAATTTAGATGATGATTTCAAAGTTTTTTTTTAAATATGATTAACGTGGTGCTGCTATTCAGTCATAGCCTAGGAATACGTTTAACGGGCAGTTGAAATAGTTCTGGGAGTATCCTTTTTATAAATTATCTTAATTCTTTTTCAGTTTCAACAGGGGGGATGACTAAATCATTGATGTGGCCTTGCAATGGACAACTCACGTTCTTTATTTTTAGGATGCTGAAGATTTTTTATAACGGTTTTAGTAGTATCTTTAAAATATGCTTTCATTAGTGGAGAAAGTTGAGAGCGGAGAGTTAAGATCTATTTGGGCCAGCTTTGCATAGTTTTGTTTCCACAAATCTAACACAATTCCATTCGAATATATATATTTTTTAAAATTATGCGGTTAGAAGTAGGATTTGCTACACTTTGGTAATTGTAAAATGACTATCCTGTTAAATTTTTCTAATTATTTTTTAAACTATATTCTAATTAAATTTGTGAAGCATAATTTCTAATCTTATTTATAATGCCTTCGTTCTTTGTTAATAACAATCACCTTGCACTAGCCTCATTGATATCATAATTTTATTTTTCAATTCTTTGTTTGCTTTTGTCCATATTTTGTTCTATGTTTAATAATTTCATATTTAATGAAATTTTATGACTTTGGTGGCTCTTTTGGCACGTTAGAAGTCTTATTTAAAAAAAAAATAATATATATATATATATATATATATATAAGAGTTCATTAGAAAGTTTAAAAAGCTTCAAAGTTTCTTTTCACTGTCGCTTTTCACTTCCATACTTTAAGCTCCTATTTTTTGTTTTAAAATGACCTCACTCTTCATACTCCCTAGAAGGATGGACGTGGGGAGCCTGGTGGAACCCTGGACCAATTTGGTCCAAGAGTTAAGAGGGGCCGCCTGACCCTCCTAGTCATAGGGAGTGCTGCTCTGGAGAGCGGGCCTACTGCTTGTTATCCGAATATTGGATATTTACTTTTGTGATATTTTAGGGTTACTATTGTATTGCTGTGTTTGCTTTGGTACACCCGTTAGTGTGTCTCTTTTCCCGTCGAGGGCTGTATCCAAGAGTTATGAGTGGTGCTTCAACTGTATCTCATTCCCCAGGTTGTGTTTATTCTTCTAATACCCTCCCATCTTTTTCCCGCACTGGTTTCCCTTCCCTCGCTGCCCCACCTTGCTGCAGGCCCCAGGAAATATCGTGTACCTGCTGTTTTTCCTCATTCCGACTGCTCGACAGCCCCAATCCAACCATTTCCTCCGTCCACCTTGTCGCCGTCACCCATAACCGTTCCTTCTTTTGCTCTCCCATTGCTGCCGGCCCACAAAAAATTTGCAGGTATGCTGTTTTCTCTCCCCTCATCGCTCCACCTTGCTGCCACCCTCAGAAAAAAATTTCCCAACTACCATCCCGGTCTTCCAAACCATCCCCCTCATTCCTACTTTTTTCTGTCACCCAGAATCGTACATTTCTCTTGCTGCCATCACCTTCCAAACTCCTAGTCGACATTGCCAACTCCATCGATCCGACCGTAGTTTTTTGTTGTGTCGTGTTAGTTGCAATTTCTGGTTTCTATCTTATGTTGTTATGATTTTCTATATGAATTCAACAATAATATTTATTTTCTATTGGTGTTGGGTTGAACCCCGATATCATTTAGCATCAAAATTAGCCTAACTAGTTTTATGTTAAGGTTATCAAACTTTCCCCCGAATTTTTTTCCCCCATTTTAAACCACCCCCATACACCCCCTTTGACATCCTAAACCTATACCCTAGCCATGGCACCATGAGACAAGTGTCAGATGCTGTTTAGGAACTCATCATAGAAGACATGCAGCTGAAAATCTGCTGATTTCAGCAAAGGCTCCTTGAAATTCAGGAAGGGATATCAAGATTCAAAGAGAAGACGGGGAGAATAAGATAAACCCTTTCCATAGGGAGGATTCCTGTGAAGGGCGGATAGGCCCCGACGCTCCAGGATTCAATATCAGAGGAGGTCGAGTGATGGAAGACAAAAAGGCCTCAGAGTGAAGGTAGACTTACCAAAATTTGGGGGGAGAATAAATCTGAATGACTTAATTGAGTGGGTGCAGACTATCAAGAGGATTTTTTATTACAATGATGTGCTAGCTGATAGGAGAGTGAAGTTTTTCGCTATAAAGCTGAATAAGAGTGTTTTGTGGTGGGAGAATCTAGAGAGAGAGAGAGAGAGAGAGAGAGAGAGAAGTGGGAGAATCTAGAGAGAGAAAGAGAGAGAGAGAGAGAGAGAGAGAGAGAGAGAGAGAAGGTCAGAACAAGATCACTACTTGAGAGAAGATGAAGAAGGAGATGCAAAGGAGACATCTACCCTTACATTACCTCCATGACATGTTTTTGAAACTCCACAACCGACAACATAGAGTTTTCAGTGGAGGGGTTGACAATAGTATTTGAGTAGCTCTAATGCTGAAATGTGAGTTGATAAAGCCAGAGGAGCATGCAATCGTGAATACTTGGGAGGCCTGAAGCCAACCATGGACAATGTTGTCTAGCTACAATCGTATTGATCGTTGGGTGATGTCAGATCTTGACACTGAATGTGGAGAAATAAAAGAATTAATTTTCTCTTTTCTTCCATTTATCATAATCCTATTTAAGCAGCATCAGCATGACTGTGTGTTGATTGCATCATATCTTTCACATGCGGGATATCTTTATTCTTTTGCATGGTAATTCATGCTTTTTTTTGTACTTTTGCAGCAAATATTAATTAAACTAGCTGAGGTTGGAAGAAGTGATCCATCCACCATGGAATCAACTCCAGAAACTGGCACCCAGGTTCTTCCCGCGAGACCTCGAATCCTTCTAGCTGCTTCCGGAAGCGTTGCGGCCATTAAGTTCGAAAACCTTTGTCGCAGTTTCATGGAATGGGGAGAAGTTCGGGCTGTTGCCACCAAATCCGCCCTGCATTTTGTAGACAAATCCTCGCTTCCAAGCAGCGTTATTCTTTATACAGATGATGACGAGTGGTCCGGCTGGAAAAAGATTGGTGATGAGGTATTACACATTGAGCTTAGGAAATGGGCAGATGTCCTCGTCATTGCTCCACTATCAGCAAATACGCTCGCCAAGGTTTGCTTTTTATACTTTAGATGTGGGTGCTATGATGTAAAAAAGTAAACTTTTAGATGCTACATCTGTAAATACATTGGAATTGAGTGTTATATATGTAAATGTCACTTTTTCTCTATGCCAGGTTGCTGGAGGATTGTGCGATAATTTGCTGACATGTATTGTGAGAGCTTGGGATTACAGCAAGCCTTTGTATGTCGCCCCGGCCATGAACACCTTTATGTTGAACAATCCCTTCACGAAACGCCATCTACACACGATTGGGGAGCTCGGCGTCTCTCTTCTTCCTCCAATCACGAAAAAACTGGCCTGCGGCGACTACGGAAACGGCGCCATGGCCGAGCCATCCGTGATCTATAATACAGTAAGGCTCTCTTTCAATGAATCTTCAGCAAGTGGTAACAGCAAAGATCAGAGCATTTAAAACTTTTGAGGTGACACATACGCACCTCTCAATTCTTATATATTTACAAATCTGACCACCCAAACTTGACTTTTTTACATTTATACCGCCGAAATCTTTCGTATCACATAAAAAATATCTGTTTTTTTATCTTTTAAAAAGTGGGACACATTTCTAATGCATGGGCATGGTGGTATATTATGTAAAAATTGAAAGTATAGGTGTTAGATATATAAATACGGATTGAGTGGCATGTATGTATGTTACTGGAACCGAAGCTTGACTGGAATGCAGCTCTTTTACAATATTTTGTAACATTACTGCTGATTATTTGCTTCTTTTTATGTGCACATTTCTGGCCAATTTTGTTGTATTTGTGCTAATTTATAAAAGTACTGCGATCCACTTTCTTTTTTTATTTACATTATCTAACATCTAATTCTTTATATTCACATGCATATCACAATTCTTTAACATCATGTTAAAAATACCACTATAAATTTTGTCTGAAGTTATTATACTTTCAGTTGTATGGAGCCAAGAGTTAGTCAGATTTAATAATAATAATATTTATTATAATAATAATAAAATAATAATAATAATAATAATAAGCTGTTTATCCTGAAACGTGACCCGCAGCCGACCGGGCCGGCCGCGGAACCCACGGCAGCATTTTAAAAACGTCGCCCGCACTTATAAGTTGCCCCAAACGGATCCTTAGTCAGATTGTTGTATTTGCTTGGTTTTTTTAATATATTTTTTATTTTTAGGGATATTCTTTAATGTATGTCTAAACTCCTAAACCATTATGTATTAGTTTTTGGCAATAAGATTCTGTTGAACTAGTGGTATGCTACATATAGTTTATAAGAGTTAATTAAATCTTGATTATTCTCAAATTTAATAAGTTAATTTAAATTAGAATTTCAAAAGAATAATTGTATTTGAATTTGAAGCATATTAGTCGAAAATAAAATAAAGAATTTCAGGATTAGATTTGTGCTTATGTGCTAAAAAAATAAAAAATAAAAAGAAATAATTATATAGATAATGCTTAAATTTTTCTTATCTATAAAATTAGAATTTAGGTTTTTTTTTGCATTATTAAATTAACTTATTTCATGTAAGATCAAATCATTGAGGATTTGATAAAAGAAAGTTACGGGGCCTGTCTTATTGTGAGTTTTAATATTTGAGTAAAAATTTGAAGGGAAAAAAAATGCAAGAGGATGTTAGTTTTGCAAATAGTAATATTTTAATTGCTGAAGAGGAGTAGAAGGATCACTTACTATTTTATTAACCCTTTTCGTTAGGGGGGTTTGGTGCAGGATTGGTATCATTATGCCGGTAGGGGTGGTATAATTTTGAAGAATGTATTTTGACTTGGAAAATGAAGTTTTTGATTTATTACTGTATGTTATTGTTTAGGGTTATTTGGATGATGCGTAACAATGTGAAATATGATGTAGAAGTGGCACAGGAACAAAGCTCTGGCTAATATTTATGCCTATATTTGCAAAATTAATCGTTATGGTGGCATTTGCTTTAATTGTCTTGATACTACTGATGCTTCTAAGCACTTATTAAGAGAACATGTTCGTCTTCATGTGGCTTATCAACTTAAGTGGAGGAGGTTGGCTAATGCATGTATTAAGGCTAATATTGATGGTAGTTTGAGCACTAATACAGTTGGGGTGGGTGGTGTTTTTCCAAAGAAGTGTTGATAAATGCTTGTTCTTTTTCTCTTCTCCTATTGATGCTAACTCTCCTATTGAATTTGAGCTACGGGCGGCTTGGTTAACCTTAAAAGATGACGTAATTTTCAATTGGCGGTACATTCATATCGAAATGGACAGTCTAGAGCTCATTGCTTATGTTAAGCAAGATAAATATCCACCTTTTGATAATTCTTTGGCTTGCAAGATATGGACCTCGAGTGAATGAGGTTAATTTGAGGTGCACTTCTCTGTATACTCTGAAATGCTTGATAGATAGTGACAATTTTGATACTCCTTATATCTGTGCATAAGTGATCTATTTTTCTGTTGGTTGGGAGGTATTTGGAGTCTTGATTTGCTACCTGTGGATGCTGATTCTAATCTCTAGTTTGGGATTGATTGTTGCTTTCTCCTTAGGAAACTTAATTCATTTATATGTTTTGCCTTTTATTGCGAGCTTGCTATACGATAGCTGTGGCTTGATAATTTTAGTTTGATGGATGCTGGATAAATATATGGCAGAAAAGAGGACTTGGTAAAGGAAGCTATGTTCGTGAATGATAGTTACTGTTGCTACTGCCTATATATATATATATATATATATATATATATATATTTTGAGTCATGGACCAATAGATTCTCCATTTGAGTCCTCTATGTACTAGTCTTATCTAAACTTTAGCCTAGTGCTAGTGGGTTTTGGATACCATCTACATGAGTCTTTTTCGACACTATTTTTTGTTGGTGGAGTTTTCCGTTGGAAGCTGTCGACCGCCAGAATTGAAATCCCGTCGCCCGCTTTGGAAAGACATTTTTTAATATATATATATATATATGTAGTTTAAAAAAAAATAAAAAAACTATTTAGCTTAAACAATAGAGTGGTCTGCTTCACTCATTTGAATTGAAGCCGATTTTCAAATCAATGTCAGTCTTATGCCAAGACACCGCTCTCTGTCCCTACTCGCCGACTCCTGCACCTCCATGCGGCAGCTCGTCCAAGTCCACGCCCACATGATCGTCACCGGCCGCATCTCCGACAACTACGCCCCCACCC